CTGACACGAGAGTCAATGTTGTTTGGAACGAAACGGAAGAATATCAATGTACGATTTGCTATGATATATACGGTGCTATGAGATATCTATAAGTAATACAATAGTACCATAATTGGTAGGTAAGATGTATATATAATACAACGCCTACGCCTACTTTAATATGTATTTCAAATAATAAGTGTCCGACGGAACCTAGATCCTAATAGAGACCCTATACCTACTCTAAGCCATGAAGGCAGGAATATTGCAAGCAGAATTCGATTTTGTGCTAGTAATGAATATAATATTGAAGAAACGAGTATATCTACATTTATTTCTATATGAAAACTCAAATATCAAAAAACCTAGTTTTTAACTATTGAGCACGATGTAGAAATTCTTATATTACATATATGTATATTTTATAAACTGTTTCTCCTTTGTTCAATCATTGTAATTTAGCTAGTATTATATATCGTTTTCGTTTATATAGAACTAGTATATAACTGTATAAACACAAATAAATTTATTTGACCTTTTTCTTTTAAATGTTATTTCAGTACTTACTTGTGTATGTGTGAGTACAGTATGTTTGTAGTAGTTGGTATCGTATGCATCGACCTTTGCCCTACAGACTGGTTACCGGTCGATCCATAGGACAAACTCAACTGGAACTCAACTTAGCCTTTCTAAATGCATCTATCGACAGTGCTATTCAACTCATAGTACATAGAAGTACTATGAGTTGAATAGCATCTTGAATAAAATAATAGAATTGAGAATATAATAATGAAATATTGTAATTATCGGTATGTAGTCAATCCAAGTTCTATTGTTACATAAACGATTAGCTACCTAAGAATGAATTATTTATAAAGACAGTAAATAATCTAGTGCATGTTATTACATAATGAATAAGATTTGTCGTATAACTTTTCTTATATATATATATATAATTTGATAATATAATTCGAAATACTTTTATATAAATCGAGAGAAAAATATTTATCTATATATTTTAATATAATTGGAATGAACAACCAACTCATTTTCCACCTTTTGGCAAGTGGTAACCGTCGACAATGTAAATGAACAACTGATGTAATGTTGTCATGTGATGCCCTTGAAAACACTTATGACATACCGGAAGACTAAGGTCTCATGCTAATTGTCTTATCTCGCCCTTCTATCGAAACTACTACTACGCAAGCTACTCGGCGCGTGAAGTATGTTGAGGTAAGGTATTCACTCAAAGTCTAGGTAGACTTTGTAATAAGTCGTCTGGTTTGGTAAAAAAAGTCTTCTTCGTAATTTAGTATTCATTTATAGAAATAAAATTTAGTCTAAAAATAATAATAATCATATAAGGACAATTCACACAGCACCCTCTAGATCCAAGCTAAGCTAGCTAAAGCTTGTGTTGTGGGTACTAGATAACTGATATAAATACATAGATTTTTTTCTTAAATACATACATATTATACAGAGTAAACACCCAGACAAATAATCATACTCATGAATACAAATGTCTGTGCCGTGCGTGGAATCGAATCCGCGAGCATCGGAACTAAAGACAGTGTACTAAACCGATAGACCACCAACGCCGTCGATAATGATAGGTAATTATAGCACGTATTCCTTTTTTAACTAATATATTACAATTAAAATTTAAATATTTAAGTCATGCATAAAGACATTACAGAAAGTATAAATATTTTAAACATTTTGCTAGCAAATGCATTCGGTTTTCGTTTCTTACAGTATACTAAAATGAATGACTACTTCAATATTATTACAACTCGTAACAAATGGAAACGTACAACAGGTGGGCCATACTTCAAGTGTGTTACATCGATTGATCAATCGATTGTAGCAGACTTCTCAATGTAAAACTTAAAACACTTTCACTAAGCCGTCATAAAGCCGTTAAAAGTTTTGTATTAGCATATGCCGGCTTCATTTGTTGATTCGTATTAGCACGTATTAGCTTTATTATAAAACTAGTGGCCGTCGCGAATTGGTGTGGGTATATAATATACGATACTATACACCCGTATGAAATACAATATATCTCATACCTTTTATATTTTGCCCCTTCTCACCACGTGCTCATTATTGGCAGGAAAAACAATAGACTTGTCCATTTTTACTATCTCCATACGATATATTATAATTGTTAATATACATATTAACATCGCATACTGCTATGACGCGCTCGTCATCCTACTGCGGCTGTGCGCCGCGTAACATTGTACATCTGTCCACTACAGATGCAAATAACGTTTTAGCGCGGGAAAATAAAAAAGACTATAAAAAATCTTCAGCAGACAAAACTATGTATTTTTTGTGCTCTTCATTCTTAAATCTTTTACACTATTCTACATAATTAATATACATACTTATGTCTGCAACTAATTTCTTATTAAATTTACTATCTTTATACACAACAATCCAAGTATAAATACTGCCCCAAACGTAATATAAATAAAGAAATTAACCAAACCAATACGATTTAGTTATCAGTGATGTACTAAACCGATAGACCACCGACGTAGAGATAATTGTATTAATTTAGGTATACCTAAGTATTACAAAATAATATCTACTTAGGAAATACAATAAAAGAATCTGAATAAAGAGAGTCTTTGTCAGAATAAACAAAAAATAGAACAATAAAAAAGTGTATAAAGATATCTTCAACTTAAGCTTTTGTGTGACAGGTCACGATCTCCACTGTCCTCTGTTTAAAGTTACGTATTCAGGATACCTTTGAGAAGCCAATCATTCCTCGGTGGTAGTTTGTTTCTCGTGATTAATAACAAGAACCGATTTCTAACCATTCACTAAGTATTTCATTGTCTTTTAGTAGATTCAATCTTATTTTTAACAAAAAATATTACTTGGATACTAAAAAAAATATAGAAATAGGAAATTTTATTCACGTTGCAGTAACAGTGAAATTATAGCTTTATAATAAATTAACTTTAGGAATGATATTAAATAATTTTTAGTATAACCACAGATAACATAATATTACGATCCGATACAAATACTTTGTATCGGAACTTTTATTTTCATGTGACAGAGTTAGTTACTGATTGCGGACCGATATTAAATTGGACTATTGAATTATTGTTGGACCTCATTTAAATGACCCAATATGAAAATATAATAATTTTGTAATTTACATAATAATATTATTATTTATATGAATGTCTACTACATATGTCTATATCAGAGTTTATTTAAAAAGAATAAGTAAACCGTTGTTATGCACAAATAACATAATATTACATAGTATTACCACAGATAACATAATATTGTATTACTATACATTTTGAGAAATGAAAGACATCCCTCTGTCAGTCGGGTAAAAACACTTGAAGCTCGACGAAATGTATTTTATCACCCCATTATGTATAATGGTTTATTGCAAGTAAATAATGAACTTCTTCACCCAGTTTTCACTTTCGCCTGTTTAGGTTGTGAGAAAAAATAGCACCAACCTTATGTCATAGCAAGAAAGCATTGCGTTTTGCGTGGCAATTAAGTAAAAGTTCTTGTAGTAAGTCGTGTGAACGGGAAGGCCGATGATCTTTGCTGACCTTTGGTCAATGACAATCATTAAGGGCTCGCGTATTTTTTTATTGTCATATTATGTTTATAGTTTTTTACGCAACACTTTAATTTAATATTTATTACTAGATATGCTTGTTAAGTAATCTTCAATAGAGTTAAAAAAAAATCTAATGTATACTGGTTTATGGTAAGTGGTGCTTATTTTTTCCTGCTTTCAACATTAGTTTTAAGAATGTACCAAACGAATAAAGAATCTTTTGCGTATTAAAGTTTTTAGTAAAAAACATTAATATAAATATTAGCTATCCACTGTTGCATTGGCTGTTGGTTATATTTTCTAAGTGAATGGGTAAACAAAAATAAAATTGTAATCGTTTCGTAATCGGGAATTGTATTAAAAAATAAATAACGAACAATTAATGTCTTTCACATATCATGATAGTAGAAATTATTTAACAAATAAGAGACAATTTCACTTTCATGCACGTATTTATTTAAATGACATGCTCGAACGTGGAGTGGGCGCTTATTCTTAAATTTCGAAATTCGAACACGACGAGCATTGAATTGATCATTGATATTTTTGAGAAACATTGGTACCGAATCATGTAATGTTCGTGATCGAATTTCCAATAAGTAGGCGTCTGTGGTCTGCGATATATCGCATCTCCTTAACCTCGATGGTCACGGGATCGACACGAACACTTATATTCTTAAATATTATATGTATTAGTCTGATGTTTTCGTATGTATATAATGTAGATATGTATTTGCAGAAAAAATGTATTTAAATATATACATCAGTAGTTCAGTATCAACAGTCTACACGGTTTGGGAGTAGATGGCGATATGTGAATTGTCTTGGATTGTTATTACTTAGGTAGAACCTTGCAATGGATATCAATTTTGATTTTAGTTCAATTTTTGGTTGAAACTACTTATGAAGAAGTTGTCCTGTACGTCCATAATGTTATTAAAGTAAATAATTAATACTAGCAAATCTATGATTTAGTTGGAGCTTTTTCATTTCTTTATTAGGTAATAGATACAATTATACAATAGAAAAAGATTACCATATAACTTATTTGTATAGCGTAACTAAACATTTTTATTTTCTCCCACCGATTTATATATGTATATTAATAAATTTTATTAACATAATAATCCAGTATATACCATGTGTAAAGCACGCGTCTTTGACATGAATTGAACTAAGTGGAACAATTAATTTCACAAAGTGGCGTCTTCCAATCGCTACCAGCGAATACTATGAGAAAAGAGAAAAGTACAGTGTACCTACGACAGCTCGTGGGAAAAATCTACAACACTATGAATATGTCACACCGGGTGTTTCACTGTAATTTCTAAGTAGATAATTGTAAATTGTGTTATAATAATAAATTTTTAATATTAATGACTAATTACCGCTTTATTTGTTTCAGATATTCCCTGTACTACTATTCGCCTTAGTAATAAGGTGCAAATGCGACGCAACTAACGGATATGGTAACACAAACAGTGCTTCTCAATTTGGCGAACTTCTAAAACCTCCACCACCTCCACCTCAGTCTGCGATACTGCCACCAGTGCCATTCCATGGAGGAGCAGGGAGATTCCAACGCCAGAATACGGGATACCAGTACTTACCACCTCCACCAGCATCTTCTCTACCTGTGTCTCATTCTAATGAATTTAAATTTCCAGCCCCTTTTTATAAGCAATATAATTTTAATTTTGTACCACCTCCTCAACCATTTACCACATCCCCACCACCTTCATTATTTCAAAAAGTTTCGGGGTGGCTTTTTTCTTCACAGCAGACCAACCATGATACAACTTCTCAAGTATTTAGCAATAGTATAAACCAAGTAAAGAAAGATTGCAATCCTTGCAATTTAGTGCCATGGATACCAGTAATTAGATACAATTTAGGAACTAAGAATATATATCAAAATCACAATCCAACATATGGTCCGCCGAGTCCCACAGCTTATGCTAATATACCTAACTTACCGCAACCGTTCCAAAATATACAACATAAATTACCCCAACCACCCGCTGGTATTCCGCATGCTGTTTATGGCCCACCAACAACTACTCATCTTCATAATAGTAATGCTATTCAATTAGTTAGTTCAACATATGGACCACCTAGTCCTACTCATACCATTTCTATTGCGTCCCAAAGCCCATTAAGTTCTACTTATTCGGCGCCCAGTCCATCTTATTCTATATCAAGTCCCTCGTATGGGGTACCAAGCACAACGTATAATCAACCTGATTCATCGTACAGCTTTTCTAGTTCTTCGCAAGGCATATCTAATTCTTACAACCCAACAAACAGAGTCCCGACTTCCACATATGGCACACCTACTTCTACATCTGCATTGTCATTTGAAATTCCGAATACAGATAAATCACATGTTACTCCACTCTATGAGCCCGAACTTCTAAACCGAGAGTTGCCACAACTTGGTGATGTAGAGATCTTAAGAACCAATGAACCTGAAAATAACTTACAATTACCAAAGGTAACACATCCAGCGAGTTTTAAAAATTCATATGGGGAAATAATTACTAACATTCAGGCACTAAATATACCGTATTCTGTATCAGCTACTGCTGCTGAGTCCACAAAAATAAAAACGGAAGTGTTACCAAATGATGCAACCAGACTTCCTATCCAAAATAGTTCTCTGGCTCTTTCAAATCCTGCTCCATTTAGTTTAAATAGGGGAAGAAATATTCATACCCTACAACCTGTTGCTTTGCCCAATCTTAGTGTATCACCTTTACCGCCTATTTTTAATGCAAGACCTTTTAAACCAACATCCAATAACTTTTCACCAACCATTGTACAGGGTGTAAATTCCATGCAACAGACATCAAACAATGTTGATATAGCCCCTAGTATTCCAATTGTAGAATTTACTCATTCTATCGATTATCCAGCTTCCATAATTCAGTCTCCTGTCATTGATATTGATACAGGTAAAAACTTTAATCTAACGAAAGGTTACAGGAATATACCAAACAGTTACATTATTGACGGGAATCGGGATATTTCATCTCAAGCATCTGAAGATCACGTATCTGCTACAAAGTCAATTCCTGATTCAAGTTTTGAAACTACAGGTGTGGACGGAGGAAATGAGTTATATGACACCGGTATACCATCAGATTTAAAACATCGATATGTACCATATAACCACAAACCAGAGTTTGCAGATCTGAGAGGAATAAAAGATGAAGATGTTGATAAATATAGAACAGAAAGTAATTTACAGAATATTGATTCACCATTATTATATCTAAAACCAAGTGCACCGCATAAAGATTATGAAAATTTTGCACTTGTTGTTTCAACTCCAATTAATGGAAACGATTATGAAATATATGATGATGTTCAAACAACATCAGCTCCTCAATCTAATTATGCAAGTGGTTGGGAGGAGAGTAGAGCAGACTATAGTCAAAGTTTCCCCCAGTCATCTAATACACAAGAAAATGCAAATAAGCCAAAAATAGTTCAAATAATTGTTCCATATACCACTAATAATGGTGAAAACAAAAATAATGCAGACTTTGAATATATTTCTCAAGGATGGGAGACCAAAGATGAAACTGAATATCAACCTAGAAAAATTCCAACTAATACAGAAAATCCTTATATTAGTACTTTAACAGAAAATTATAACAGTATAAGTACAACTACGGAAGATCCACAATTACCAATTACAGAAAATTTTGATTCACATCAATTAAATACCGCTGATATACTAAATGACCTGTATGATGTTAAAGAGCCACCTTTTGATATTATTAAATTGCAAAATACGATAGACGATTGGACAGAACAAGCGTATTCTAAACGTCACAAAACATCGCAGCGGACTCGTGGTGTAGAAAAATATGCTAAACAGATTCCAGACGATTTTTTCACAACAACAGTTCCTACTAATTATGTTACTTCTACAAATAACGTTAATTATGAGTTCTACGATCACGAAGGTTCCAGTAGTGTGCAACATTTAGTGACTGATGAAAGGAATAATACTTATAGTAAACCTAGGAAACAGTACAATACTATTGAAAGAACTAAAACTAGATACAGTATTGGCAAAAATCGGGAAATAGACGAAATTAAAAAACTGCACATATATACAGCAGCGTCGACTTTTCGAAGTACGACCACTACACCCGCTCCATGGGAAAAAATCCAAACATCTATATCTCCATTAACTAAAGAAAAAATTTACGTTGTTACCTCAAAACCATGGTTGGGGACATATAATATATCCAAAGGATGGTTAAATGCAAAATCCTTTGAAAGCTCAAAGGCAAATTTAGATAATGAGTCATCCGGATCAGATAATCTACCCTTTAAGTCACCTAGATTTGCGAACCGACCATTATTTAGCCTCATTTCACCTATAAAACCTGATCCAGTGAAATCAGACTCACTATATGGTTTTTCAAAAAGCTGGCACCAAAGCAGTAAGTTCAACGCACTTATATTATTGATTTAATAAATTATTGAATTTATTGTATAATAATACTTTTATTAACTGTTTCAGTAAATGATTTGGGGAATCGACGTCATAGCAACAACACAATGTTACCAGAAAGTTTTCAACAGAAACATTACACTAGCGACGAAGAGGTTTATTGATATTAACTAAATATTATTTAATATTATTATTGAACGTGGTTATTTTATGAAATGTTCTAATTAACAATTGACATTTTTTATTTTATACTTTACAAATTCAGATGGATTTTATTAATTTTCTTAATAACCTATTATTTAGTTACACTGGGGCTCAAGTCAAGATTAATGCTAGGTATATTATTAATGCTATGTGGCTCGATTCGAGTAAAAAATCTACTATTTACTTAACGGAGAATTTTGTAGAATGGTCTTGTGACCTGCTTATATGCGCATAATTTTCATTATTTTTAAATCACACTTAATGATGACAAATATTACTTGTATATTTATGAGATTCAATAATAATATAAATAAATGAAGTCTATATTGAATATATGAATTCTATATTCTATAAATAAGCACCAAATATCAAAATTTGTGTGTATGTGTACCTACACAATAATAAAAGATGCCATTCTAAATACTAATTAATTAAACTACTATTTCAAATATGAAGATTGAAATAATATTATAAATTTTAGAAGACTATACAATACAGTACATAATTGTTTATGTACTGTATTGTATAGTCCTCTTTATACTGTATAGTTGTCTATAAATCTAAGTAAATGTATGATTGAATGTATTACTACATATTATATTTATACATATTATATTATATTTATAACCTACTATATTGCTAATGTACAATTTATTAATCTTTCAGGATACAACCGGTACTACGACCGAAGGACATAATAGAGATGTATTATAATACATAACATTCATATATAGCCAAATGGAGAGAAATAAAAACATTCATATACATGTGTTGAAAAACTACAGTGTAAATTTTATTAGGAAAGAAATAAACTATAATCGACAGAAAGTGATAGAGAACTATTTGAAGTGAATATATGTTGGTATCTAAGTAGATTAAATAATTAAAGTGACTATATTAAAATAAGATTATCTACCAAATTAGGAAGAACACCATGATTAAGGCTGCTTCTATTAATTGTTCTTTGTTTTATTGTCATCAGATATACCTAGCTAATTTTGTAATTTAAGTTATATCTGATATGTAAATATTATTATAGTGTATCATACTAAATTTGCGATGGTGATACTGATAATAAGAATAGTATTGATTTAATATTAAACGGTTTATATTTATGCTGGAAATGCTAAGTTGCCCACAACGTTGTTTATTATTATAATATATATGTATACAAGTGATGCTATATGTAAGGCATGAACTGATTTTAGTTTTGTACTTTATATTATGAATTATTTGATTATTGTAGTAGTAGTGTTTTTTGTCTAAATACCATTCACATCCTATTGTATAAAATGTCTTCTTTCAATACATGTATACATTTCTTATTTTTCGGTATTTAAAGTTACTTCAGAAATATTTCATATTGCTCGAAACAGCATCACCACCTATTTACGAAAATACCATGTGTTATTGATTTTTTAATTGTCGGTTGATATTTTTGTACATGTCTATTCTCGTCTGGTTTGTAATTGTTGTGATAAATTTCGAATAATTTTTTTTTTATATAGAACAGAGAACCGAGAATAATTTTATAATTTTAAAATAATAATACAAAATTTAAGTATTATTGTATTTCAAATATTATTATCAGAAATATCATTCAATTTTAATATTGGATAAATACTTAAATTTTAATAGTGAAAATCTTACAATTTGTTAATAAAATGTATTTAAATGTAATATATTATACTTTGAGAATCTCAAACAATTTATATACCTATATACTAAGTCATTCTTTATACTCTTCCGGTTTATTAGTCTTAGATCCTATATTTTTTTTATATGTACAAATATTATCTATGTATATATGCCTCCCGTAATTGTAATAAACTGTTTTTAAAAAATACGGTAAGACAGAAAATACCATTTCTAGGTATATAATTGAGACCCTGTTGTCTTGGTCAAAATTGGTAATTTTTTTAAATTATTGCCTGAAATCTGTAAATATTATTACTTTAAGTAAATGAAATGAGACAGTAATGATTTTTTTCTTTAAATAAAACCTGTATCAAATATAACTTTATGTTAAGTTTATGTTACATAAAAAATAGAGTTTTTTATGTTACATAATCATACGGGATATATATATATAAATTAATATCTTAACTCCTGTATTCATAAAAAGTAAAATGTTGAATAAACAATTTATTTATTTATTCACTTATATGTTATAAGCTATTTTAGTTATCTACATAAGAATGTTTCAAAACAGCCTAATAATGAAATAGGGTTGCATGTTTTAATTTTAATTAGAATGAAACAGTAGTGCAGTTTTATCTTTGGTTTTTAATTAGTTACCTATTATATTATAAAGATTTAATAAAAAAAACATCAGTATACAAATAACATTGCAAAGTTACTAAGATTTAAGACTAGCTACAACTCTGAACGCTTGTTCAGATTTTAAATAATTATGATAACATACTGATATTATCATAATTACCTATATAGAATTCCACAAAAAGGTGTTCAGTTCATTTGTGTTTCTGATGTTAAATTATTTTTCATTCGAAAGTAAAGAAATTCAGCTACCCAGAGGAATACTGTAACTAATGTGATAAGATTGAGCACTATTATAGGTATTTGGTAGGATCCTGATGTTTCGCGTACTTTACCTGAAATGAAAATAATTCTCTATAAGAAAATGATAACAATGTAGGTTTTCAGTACTGGAAAAAGGATACTAATATGCTTATTACTCTTTAATAAATACCTACGTATCTCTAAAACATTGAATGGTTACACTTATTTACAACATGTGTACTCTACACGAATATACATAAAAAAAAAATTACTTGACTAAAGTTTTATTTTGAAAAAGTGGAATCTACTAGACAATTCTATATAGGTACTGCTATAAAATAAAATTTACTTAAATTTAACACTATCTGTGTAAATGAGACTACAAATACTAGTAGGAGCTGCATGCCCTTACTTCATCATCATTGGGTTGCCTTCATCCGATTACCTCATCTTTTTCCATTAATCCCTATCCGCAGTCATATTTGAGATTACTCTCCTTTTATGCATATCATAAAGAAAATTATGTACATGTATTTTTCGGGACTCCTGATTTCGATCTTTTTAAACCAAATATGAATAGACTGCTGCCAATTGTATCATTGACGTCATCGTTCAGAGGTAAGATTGTGAGATTTTAATTTATTAAAAAAAATATATGCCACGTAGTCGAATTAAAAGAAATCATTAGAAGATAAAAATATTTTGTTTAACTCCTCTTCCATTGTAAGATTCTGAGTAGACTTTATTTATTACCCTGGTGGACCTTATGCAATATCGCCTGCTTAGATTGACTTCTGTATCACCTATTTCAGCCGCCAAGTAGATATGTTATGACCGATTGAGTGTGATAAACGAATGGCAGTAAAATTACAGGGTATGGAGGAATGAAGACTTGTTATTCGGAATGGCAACGCATGAGGGTTACAAGTACAGGTACCACCAGTACCACCAATATCTTGGTGGTATATACAGGCGACGATTGCTAATTCAGGTGTGCCATCGAGTTGTTCGTCATTTCAGTTAGATAAATAAATTATTTTACCTAGAATTGATCCAAGAAGAATGATAATAATCCCATTCACGAACATTTGTATACCGGAGGCAAACGGTAGTCGTTCTAAAGGCACATAGCTCGGTATCACAATATTCATATAGACTGTGCGAAGGCCTTTAGTAATGCCCATGCCTAAAGCCACAAATAACATTCCGATGAAGGATGTTGTGAACAGCATTACTGGAAATAATAATAAAAAAAAATTAAATGATAACCATAACACAGTGCCATCTAGTCGCAAATAATGAAGAGTGGGTTCCACGGGTACTAAAGAACTGATACAAATACTTAAATATTTATTAATACATAATATTTTTAATGAAATTACGGCATAAAAGGCATGCCATTTTAGTCCTCTTCTCTGGAATGGCAACGATTGAGTGGTATCACGGGAGTCGTCATGTGAACGTGATGCCGGTAGTGCTGTTCATGTATATAGGCGATGGTTACTTCTTACCATCAGGTGGGCCGTCAACTTGTTTGCTATTCCTGTTACATAGAATATGTATGTACTTAATACACAACCGTCAAATTTATTAAAGTCGGAAGAATGTAAGTTAGTTAATGCTGTAAGTTAGTTAATGTACGAGAAATTACTATGTCAGCCGAGTTCTAAATTAGATTTATTTGCGTAACATGTATATAATTAAGTAGCTATGTAAATATAAATTGAGCCTATAAATTAACTTATCAAATGTCGTTACTATCTGCCTAATCTTTCTTTCTTTCTTTCTTTCTTTCTTTCTTTCTTAACTTATCAAACTTTCTTTCTTTCTTTCTTTCTTTCTTTCTTTCTTTCTTTCTATCTTTCTTTCTTTCTTTCTTTCTTTCTTTCTTTCTTTCTTTCTTTCTTTCTTTCTTTCTTTCTTTCTTTCTTTCTTTCTTTCTTTCTTTCTTTCTTTCTTTCTTTCTTTCTTTCTTTCTTTCTTTCTTTCTTTCTTTCTTTCTTTCTTTCTTTCTTTCTTTCTTTCTTTCTTTCTTTCTTTCTTTCTTTCTTTCTTTCTTTCTTTCTTTCTTTCTTTCTTTCTTTCTTTCTTTCTTTCTTTCTTTCTTTCTTTCTTTCTTTCTTTCTTTCTTTCTTTCTTTCTTTCTTTCTTTCTTTCTTTCTTTCTTTCTTTCTTTCTTTCTTTCTTTCTTTCTTTCTTTCTTTCTTTCTTTCTTTCTTTCTTTCTTTCTATTGTAATTATTGTTCAAGATAGCTATATTATCTTAAATCTCTGTGTAGGTTATTAGACGACTAATAAGAAAGTGATGCAAAAATAAAAAAGGAAAAAAATGTACACAAAAAATAATAACACTGTACCTACATAATACAGTTACATAAAAACTTAATGCTAAGGATACTAAATACGTACATACTTACTCGTTCTAACGAAGACGATTAGTAATAAACCAACTATATACATAACCCTCGGTGGTTTATTACACCATTCCCCAATGAACGGTGACACAAAGCGAAACAAAGTGTCAGTGAAGCCAATGACTGCCATAATCTTTGCAATCTCTCCTGTGCTGAACTCTAACATATCTTTAAGAATTATTGGTAGCAATAGAGAAAAGTTTGTTTCTACACAGCCGGCCACCGACAGACCAATTAAAATGTTTACGAACACTGGATCTCTTAATAATGTTAAATCAAAGAATTGCACAAACTTTTCGAATAACGTTTTAGGTTCTTCTACTTCATCTATTGGTTTAAGATTAGATTCGTTTACTCTATTATCAGGTTTTGTTTCATTAAAAATATTTACAGAACTGCCTAAATTTATTTCTTGAGATTCCCACCATTTATATCGAGAGTCAGCTAATGGTGGTTCAGTATAATTTTTGCTTATATCTGGATGTGATACAGCATTTCTTGTTTCCAGACTTGTATTGCTTTTTAAAGATCTCATTGATAAACTTTTAGGCGGCGGCAAACTATTTTCTATGGATTCTTCTAATTGAGGTAATAATGTATTACTCCCTGAAAAATATAAACAATAAATATTTAGTATTTAATTGTAAATAGAGATATTTTAAAGAAGTCAAGTTAAATGAATCGACAACAATGGTCAACAAGCGGGTGTTGATTGGAGACAATACTGAAGTGAATGTACTCAGAATAAACAGAGGAGGTTATCTAATAAATAATTTATAGTAGTTGTATGTATAAATATTATAAGATTAACGAAACACGAAGTTTAGTAATAATAATATAAAATAGAATAGAATAGAAGTAAATAATTGAAATGGACGATATGGCTTTTTATCCATAAAATAGAATATTAAGTTACTCATTACTACTACACCGATTTAAGGTAGAAAACTAAAATATGTTTACCAGTAAGTTTCGAAGATGTTGTAATACTGCCATTGACAAGTTCTATGCTGATTTCTTTATTCAATGGCACCATTTCTTCTGCAGGTGCAGGTGGATCCTTTAGGTACCATTTGGCTGGTCTAAGTAAACACGCTCCTACCAATGAGTGCAAACAAATTGCACTCAGTATAAGTACAGCGTATCTCCATCCATACGCATAAACAAGGGTGCTCATCAGTAAAGGCATAAATATACTCCCAAGTCCTGTAATTGACATACCGGCGCCTATTGCCCTTCCTCTTTTTTCTTTGAAAAATGAATTAATTGCTAAAGAAAAAGCTGCCATTACTGCAGCGATACCCATGGCTGTAAAAAATAAAAAAATTGATGATTTTTTTTAATTATATAAAATTATATAGTATTATTTTTAACAGCTAATACTTACAATTAATAATACTGTAGGATAACACAAATAGCCAGAAACTAGATGACACTGAGGTCATCATCAGTCCAGCAGATACTAAAATGGCACCTGTGACTGCAACTTTTCTATATCCAAAGCGTCGTAACACAGGGCCAGCGAAAAATGAAAGTAGCATACCCATTCCATGATTTAGAACTATTACTAAAGATCCTTGAGTAGGCGTCAAATTAGTTTCAGCAAATGCTTCTTGAAATACTAATGCAAAACCGGCAATGAGAGGTAGAACAACAACCTTAAAATAAAGTCAAATAATGCTTCAAATTTCATTTAATAAGTATTAATTAACCGTCAGCTTTATTGCTATTTTCATTTCATTAATATTACTAGTAACATAATGAATGAAATGAAAATGGCAGATAAGCTGACGGTCAATTTCAATCGTCGTCTATATATAACAGTACTAAGAACATATCTAATGTTTTCGGGCAACGCCCGCCCTAAACCTTTCATGCGTTACCATGTCGTGCTTCTGTATCCTGTAATTTCAAGCCTTTATTTTACTCTTCAATCGAAACTTACAAAGCAAACTGCTTAATAGATGACATAGGTAATTGGGAGAGAGGTATACGCTATGCAGAAAAGTCTGTACGAAGTCGACTTCGGCAAATATGGAAAATTATTATTAAAAAATCTACCGAATTACTGTTCCCATCCAGTAAGTATGTCTCTTTCAGTTAGGTATTAGCACAGATAATATAATATTACATAGTATTAGTATTTAGTATTATAGATTTGTGACCAGTTCGCTCTTATATGTTAAACATGCCGAAAAAACAATTGATCTTTAAAATATAATAGTTTACTAACCTAACTAAATAAATAAATGTTTACTGACCGCTATGATTATTATGATTAAACCGCTGCGTGGTATATTTTATTTATTGTAGTGACGACGGTTGCAAATTATTCTCTCGTATATGGAGTGAAAAAATAGGACTGAAAAGATAAATTTAGGTTAAAAATATAAAACCCTGTACTTAGTATTGCAGATGTGTATCTGCAAACTGAAGACAGGTTTTTATATTTTTATCTCAAATTTATCTTAAATTGGAACTTATTAATATGTTATATGGATTACTAAAAAAACAAATAGCTCTTTTTTATTATTATTAAAAAGGTTTGCGCTTAGTCTTACCTCATCTGATAGGAAACCATGGCGAGAACTAAGATATAGCGTATTTTTTTCAAAATAGTTTGGATTTGTTACTTTCATCAGCAAATAAAAAATCATTAGGCAATAAGTAGATGAAAATGACCTAAATAATAATTGTTTTATTTTGCAGAGTTGTAGTAAATATACTGTAAATATTAGGTACATTGATACTGTTTGAGAAAAATATTCTCTGTCCTAAGGGTAATTATCATAACAATGCCGATTAATTTTACATTTCATTAATATGCTGAAAGTTATTTTGTATTCTATATAAATTGTAGATATGTAAATTAGATAGACTTATACTTAGTCATTGTAATCGAAAGTATCAAACTACGTGCCTAATATAATAATAAAATAAGATAAAATGTAAAACTAATCACAGATTGGATTAAGTAATAAGTACTGAAGTATACTCTTCTGATAGGAAATAAGTATAATATAGTTATTATTTTGTTAAAATAATAATAATAATAAATAAAATAGAAATATTATTTCTACAAGTATAAAGAATAATAATAAATAGTTTCACAAATATATGAATTAATGATTCGTTTGAACAAAAATTCTTTGTGTTTTAATATATGATTGACTTTAAATAATTGGTCTATTTAAATACTAGAATCTGTTACATTACATAACACTGTTACTTACATTATTAAGTGCGTATGCAAATGTCACAACCCATCCGTAACCACCGTCTGGTGGTACTTTGTTCACTTTCTTCAACATTTTGACAATTTTGTACAATCACATCTTAAAATTTGTGTCTTGTGTATTATTCATATTAATTGTATCTGCAATCATTAGATTCCAATCACTGTTACATTCATGAAACTGTTAACCACTTTTATCACAATACTGTTATTTTTTTACAATATTTACTTGAAAGTGTCTGTGCACAATATCACGTTAATACTCTACGCTCATTAAGTAATAAATGAGTGACAAATAAAATTACAGACACCTTATCGGCCTGACTTTTATAAATGTATTCTGTTATCAACTTTAGAGTATTTACACATCGGTATGTTTGTTTAACATGTGGTTAAAAGCAATAAGGGCAGTACAGAACTGTCTAATTTGGAGCACAATGACTTTGAAATATGTTAGGTAATTAAGGTTAATTTTAATTTAAACACACCTTTCAATTGTTAGAATTAAATATATGTTATCTTCTATAGATTCTTAATTGCATTTTAACATTGTCATTTGTAATTGAATATAAGATTTTTTAATTCAACTATTATATAATAATAATATTAGGAACATTGTAATACGTATATGGTTTAGTTTGTTATTAAGGGAAAGCACTTTATTAAGATTACATTTTTAAAAATATTTAAAAATTTTATAGTTACTTAGTTTTTAAATCTATATTATACGTGTAATATTGTTATGTAAGTGAAAATGTAAATGTTAACTAATTATTTGATAGAAAATCCACAAACATAATAGCAACCTCTGTTTTAAGATAAGAAGCTAATACTGTTGCTAAATAAAAAAAACGAATCTTATCTTAATAATATTATAAATGCGAAAGTTTGTGAATACTCACGTATCCATACGGATAGATGTTTGTTACTCTTTCACGTAAAAACTACTGGACAGATTTACAGTAATATAGCTCATACAATAGAATAATACGAAGGCTATAATTTTAAAAGATATTATGTAAATTGGGCGAAATATAATGATAAATGTTAGGTTAGTGTGATGCAGACGAAGTTGCGCTGGTATTAAATAAAAAATTATGTCATTTATAATTTTTATGCTTTTTAAGTCTTCTCTATAGAAATATTTTGGTACTATTTAGAATATACATATTTTTAACAAAATGTCACAATTGTAGTGAGTCATGGCGAGAAGAAAATCGCCTTTATTAGACTAAAATGACGTTGAACAAAGACGGGACAGTCGACGCCAACATAATGATAACGAATTAGGTTGCTATAGTTCATTCGTATCATCATATTAAGTACTCAATTGGTAAATATATTATTAATTACAAAATATGAAATGAACTATCAGTGATAAAGTGGTCACGCAGCGCATTATAGCATATCGGAAGCAACAATCGTATTTATTGATAACATCGAATCGTGTTCATTTACTATTATCGATTTTTTAAGTAACTGTAAAGGCAAACAAGCTGACGTTTCGACGTAAGTGGCAGCCGTCCAGTATATATATACTATACATGTACGGCACCACGTACGTCACGTTATCATGCCATGCCTGTGATAGCACACATGCGTTGCTATTCAAAACACCTGGGATGTAATACTTCCATATGCAATAATTTCACTACCTTATATTACCATTGAAATGAAAAACAGTTTACAAAGTAAGATTGAATACTGTAATACGCTGGAGATAGACGACTTTGGCACCTTAAAATATTATTATTAGTAAAGATATTTCAATACTCAGATATTACTAATATAATAATTTTACGTGTAATCATAATTATATATTAGAATCTAGGTTCTTGACTATTACCATGTAGTGATAAGAGTGGCTAATATCTTAATACACAGATAATAATAATTGTGCTTTATATGTCACTTTTATTGCAGTGGTCGATATTGTAATAAGGTAGGTAATATATTAGATTAAGCTGGAATATGTATCTTCTGCTTAACAAAACATAAGACTGCAATATTTTTTTAATTGCTAAATCTGTTTACTCTCTCTCTCACTATTATTAATTAATCAAGTTAGAACTTGGTACTTTTATGTTAAGATGAAAGTAAACTCCTGAACTACTGTACCGCTGCGTAGAATTTTTTCAGTATTTTTTAGTCAAAGTTAAATTACTCCAGTACTAATACTATTAATTATTATTGTTAATAATAAAACTTATAATAATATGAGCAACCGGGAGAAACCTGGTGACGAGAATAGGGAAGAGGCAAACGTGAAAATTTGTAAGCAATAGTGGATGGATGTCTGCTGGTATTTCATTTAAAAACTTCTGGATCATATACTTTTCCTAGCCTAAATTCATAACTTAGGATAATTTTTAACAAAATATAAATAAGTAGCGTTGCTTAAATCATTAATTTAATCGATAACAACAAACACGAATTTTATGATTTAAAATATAATTATTATGTAAATATCAGTTCAAAATATATGTTTACTTCATAAATTACTGCCATTTTTATACATTGTCATAATCAACATACCATTTCGCCTGTTTCTTTTTGTATAATATAGCTAAGGCGATGCGAGTGAGCTATTATTGATATATCAGGCGTTATCGCATTAGCTTGAATATTTTTTAAATAAATAAAATAAGTATTTTTCATTATAAACATGATAATACTTACCAATATACTAATTAAATAGATAATTCACTGCGTTTGACACGTAGTTGCACTCGCTTTAAATTCCGAAAAGGCAATTTATAGGTAGTTTTATAACTGCAATATTCATTGTAGGTACGTAACTACTTAACTGTGTTTACATTTAGCACTATTTCATTGATATCTACATATACATAATTTATATATCCTTAGTCAATTGCTAAACACAACAATTATACCACTATTTTAAATTTCTCGCGACTGTACCAACAGAGGTATAACACAGAGGTGCCGTGCCCTCTCTTTGACTTCAAATTTAATAGAGATCCTTGATTAACTGTTCCGGCCAATTGGGTTACGTGCCATAGATTACCATAATTCGAAAGGAATGCTATCTATATTATACACTAGCAGTTAGCACTAGTATTTTCTGGTTTTGCGTCTGTGAAATATGGCATAAGTAACTATATAATGCATATTCTATATAGGTTTATACGTTGGTAAAATTCACAGCATTGGTATAATTAAAAAAAATATATATATATATATTACAAGAGTATATTTATTACAATCAGAAAATTAAATATTTGTCGTTATAAATTTGTTTAAATTAATAAAAGATTACTACTAAGTTTGTTATCTATTCTTAATGTATCTATAGGAACAACACGTCTCTATATAACAGTATAATGAAAAATTGAAACATATTCATAATTATATATCTTTATTGGTGTTCCAAACTGCAGTAATAAGATAATCTGGTACCACTGACTTTGAAGTTTTTAAAAGTACGTGTAACTATATTACGATTTTTTGGATTTTAGTTTAATATAAAAGACGTTGGTCACGTAGATCCGGAATCGGTTGTTGCATCAGCCCTTTGCTTTCTTTTCCGGAAGTATTTTTCTAGACTCCAAGACAAGATTGTCATCCACGTGAATATATTCAGGCAATGCAAAGTCACAGCGGTGGACGTATTGTCTTTGATCCAACCTAAAAATAATAGAATGTGTAAATTAGTTTTTTACTTGGTGTGTAGGAAAAGCATTATGAATATCTGTCATTATGACTGAGTTAGTTACTTGCAGCATCTATTCAAATTTGTTGGTTGTTTTTACACAGACGTTTGACGATGATAACGACAACACTTTCTATAGGTAACTAAACCTCTGTTTATGTGTGTAGGTCCATAACATGGAATAACTATTTAAATATTTTTTTTTTAATTATGAATTACCAGATTAAGAGGTCGTTTTTATGTTTGTAGTTTTTATGAACAAAGAGAGTTAATAAATTAAATGTTATATTACCTACAACCGGTCCTAATGTAAGGTAGACGATTCCAGCGGTCAATAGCTGAAGGCCAGTCGCTCCTGGTAATTTGTGAAGGGGTACATGAGTGGGTAGGACTAGCGCCATGAATACTGTTCTCATGCCTTTGCCAAATCCTACTATAACCGCTACAAACAGTACCGCGTGGTAGGAATCAAAGTGTGCCAAAACTGAAAAAATTTACGTGCTCTTTAATTCATAGATCCGGTTAAAAATTACAATAGACGTATATTTGAACCTAATTATTATTAATAAATAAATAAATAACCCTGGACAATTAACATAGCGCCAAGTAGTCCCACGGTAAGCAGAGCTTGTGTTATGGGTCCTGGATAACTGATATAAATATTTACTTTTCTAAAATACATATATATAATATTATACACCCACATCGAGACCGATACAAATAGTACTCATGTATACAAATGTTTGCACCGTGCGAGAAATGCAACCCGCGACTTTCGGAAGTAAAGCGGTCTGTTATACCGCTAGACCACCGAGGCCGTCAATTAATAAAACCTGAAACATTTTTTATGTCATTGGAATCGAAAACAAGTCGTACCATTGTCTTTATATATATGATATTTATTACGACTGTGACACTTCTTAAACACTGGCTTTTATAAGATTGAACAACCACAACAACTCATCTTATGATAGATAAATATTTATTCAAGTTAAAGGTACACACACAGAAGGCACTGTAATATTAACAACAAAAATAAAAACAGTCATACAATTATAATGATGAGTGGTACTACTTTGTACAAAGTCTACTTTGGTAGATCTTATTCATCCGTATCGTATAATTAATCGTAACCCTATAATTTTACAATCTCATCGTACACTTCAATTCAAATAGCTTTTAAAACTAGCTGTAATGTAGAACTAGTTTTTATTGCTATTTGATTTGTGAATTTCTCTTTAGACGCATTTCGTCTAAAAACAAAGGCTCCCAATGTGGAAATCTGAAACTTTATACTGCATCACTATGTCATTTAGTTTTGTTTAATTTTAACTGCTGTTATAATTAGGTAGTATATTGTTTGAATTAGTTGGAGGAATATTCAGTAGATTTGTTATATCAGTTACACAGAAATAATCAATCTTATAAATGCCAATGTTTAAGAAGTGTCGTAATATCTATATATGTATAGAGACAATGGTACAACTTGTTTCCTATTCCAATGACATAAAAAATGTTTCAGGTTTTATTAACAGTTATACTTATCAATTCGTACTCAATATTATATCAATGATACATTAGATTTGTATGATTTTAGATGTTATAGGTACATATTTTATAGATAGGCATAAGGTAAATTATTAGATATTATCGAAAAATTTAAAAATCTGTTTGCCGTCCACTATTCCAATATTTTGTTTCCCTGTACATCACGAAGATTCATTACGATTAGAATTAAGTTGTTCAATATCAAGTTGTTTTTTTTCAACTATATAATTATTCAATTGCAATATGCCATCTAATAATTATTATTTATTTTCGATTAGACATTATAAAATTTTTTCCATTTATATTTATATTTTTTTTAATCATTATTAGATGTCATATTATTTAACTCAAAACGTTAATGCAATTACCAGACAGTCAATAAAAAAAAAACACTTTATTAAAGTTATTTGTTTAGAAAAAGTCGGTTTAAAGTTACGGATTAAAAATATACCCGATAAATTTAAATGTAACTGAAATATTGTTACTTGTTTAGTTACATTTATATTGAAACGAATTTGCTTTAATATAGCGGGTGAAGATAATATGATCATGTTTATATTTTGGCAACGATTTTGTATTAATTTAAGAACATTTAACAACTTTTCCATCCCAGATTTGCAAATAGGGACACCGGGACTGTAATTATCATCATTATTTAAAAACGGGACCGGAATATCAAGTTTATAGGTCAACTCTCTTAAATTATTCTGTTATACTGTTATATGTAGTGTTTAATTGTACGTTTTTAAATAAATCAAATTTAACATAGGCATACAAACATTTAAAAAATATAGATGTTTCAACGATATCTATTAAGAACATTTACAATTGAATGTAAATAGGTATATATTATCATAATTATATTATAGTATTCCAGAATATTTTAAGGTTAAGCATTTATAGGTCAACTATTAAATTTACTAGGAATTAAATTATTGATGAGAATGTATTCAATACCACCTTTAAGTGATAATTTATCTGCAATTTATCTCGTGTTGTTGTCTTAGTAATTTTGTATCGAATGGAGTCTATTGTTTATGTCAAACAAAAATAGACTTGTGATACTCACTGTGTTATACCTATTTGATTATACTATTTTTCTTAATCATATGACATTCGTTATACCAGTTATATCGAGAAACCTGTACGCGATAGTCAGTCAACATTCTAAAGTCGTTCCATACAAATGTTAATTTCGGCAGATGTTTGTTGAAGCCTATACATAGTTCATATATACAGAGCTCTACAGAATTATTTATGGAGTTTGCGTCATAGTAGTAACGTCGTCGCCCGTAATGAATCGAATACGTAAACGTAAACGTTAAATATGGCCCAGTTAATTAAAACTATGGCCCATTTCGTTTGTCTGAACGATTAAATAGTACAGTTAATCCGTCTCTACATCGATTGAGACCGCTGTAGGTGCAAGCAAATATAAAAAAATGTAGTCAAATTCTAATAGTACAAATAGGATATTAGTATAATTTGAACTGAAAGTGAACTTATTATATTTATGTGAAAATATATGTATGTATTTTTTATTTTTTTCCTAAACAGTAGATACCAGGTATTTAAGAATTAGATTAATAATAAGATTAGCTCTTCATAGAATTTTGTTAAATTTTTAACTACCTCTATAAGGTGCATTTGATTCGAAATTTACAATTAATAATAATAATAATAATCTCAGGACAATTCACACAGCGCCATCTAGAATCAAAATCTAGCTAAAGCGATTTTGCGTTTTGGGTCAGCTAGACAATATGATTTTCAATATTCGATTTTTTTTTTTAAATACATACATAATATACATAGAAAACACTTCGATACAAACACTCATGAATACAAATGTTTATGGAAAGTGTATAATATGAATGTGGATGTATGTAAAGGGAGGGTAAGACATAATAAAATATGGATGGATTGTGTGAAAGATGATAATGAATAAATGAAAAGTATGTTCTGATATGACGACCGAAAGAGAGCATCCTCACTACAAGAAAAAGAAAGAAATCGCCGCAAAATCGCTTTTAGGATATTACATTTTACTGGCTTTAATTTATGAAGTAGATTACGAGTGTTATACAATACACTACACTGTCAGTAAGATCGATCCATCTGTAATGATTTGTATTAAAAATGGTTAGATAAAATATATTAATGTATAAATATAATTACCTATTCTTCCTATAGCCATAAATGTGATCCCAATAAGGTAAAATGTATTGTTATCCCATTCTATTTTACCAGCAATAAATGGGATGCAAAATCTAACAGAAAGGTCAATTCCAGCTAGGAGAGACATATAATAGGCTACTTCAACTTTTGAATACCCATGATCACCAAGAATGAAAGGCGTTAGTACTGAGAAATTTAGTTCATTAAAATTCGACAAAGTTATTCCTAACATAAGATTTATATAAGTAAAATCTTTCAAAAGATCCAAATCAAAATAAACGTAAATTTTCTCGCAAAATGTGAATTCTCTGTCATCGATATTTTCTTCCTCATCATTATTTTTATTATCCTTTAAACTTTGCAATTTTGTAGAGGCTTGATTTAAAACTTCATTATCTTTATTAAAAGTATTAGAGATTTCCCCATGGCCGGTATCATATAATTGATTGCTAGGAGTTTCTTTTAAACAGTTCTTATCATAAGCATCTTGTGAATACTGTTCTTCATGCTGATTATTCAATTTGAAAGAATTTATATATTTCTCTGATCCATTTGCAATACCTTTTGATTTATCTGCTTTGGTTTCTATGATCACCTCTGTATATATTTTTGAATACTGTGGACTTATTAAGTCTTCTATTTCTGATTCTGGAATCTTTAATTTTAGAGATGCATTACGCTTTAATTTACTTGAGTATTTATCCTTTTCATCAGAACCAGTTTCAAGACTTACTGAAGAATTACTTTTTGATTCATTTAAATGTAATGATGATTTGCGAGACAATTTTTCTACGATGTTTGTAATTGAACAATTTTTTGATTTCTTTATGGAAGTATTTATTGAAGATAAGCTACTCGTCGAATTTCTCAATTCCAAATTGTTACTAACACATAATGATTTTGAGTGTATAACATCAGAACTGGGATTCTCTTCATTTTTAAAAAAGGTACTATAGTATCCACTTTCTTTTAGATCTTTACTGTCTAAATCCGTTTTACATTTATGTTGTGATTTTTCTTCATCTATTTCAAAATTTTTATTTTCCTTTTCATTTGGGACAGGTTTTTTACTATGCCATTCAACGGGGTGCAAAAAAAGAGCACATGCTATTGCATGTAATGATAATCCGCTTATAATGAGAATTGTTCCTGTTTCTCCGTATATGGTAAATAGGCCTGTTACTATGTGTGGCCATATCACAGGTCCTAAACCAGTTATAGTCCATGATAGTCCAGTCGCTAACCTTCTTCTATTTTTCCAGTATGTGTTTAATGCAAGAGCGTTAGCTGAACTACTAATGCCATACCCAAAACCTGTAAATATAATATTAAAATATTATTTAATTTATTCTTATCACAGTATATGTAATATTAACTTCCAATAAATATAATTAACTTACCATATAATATAGAAAAAAATATAAGATATGTGATAAAATTGTACGAAAATGTTGTAAACATTAGCGAAATGAATACAATTATCGCTCCAGCTAGCGATACCTGTCGATAGCTGAATGTTTTAAACATAGGGCCATTTACGAGACCTGTAAAATCAAAGAGTTAAATATAATAGAATTTATATACACATAGCATACCAAAAATAGTGGTAGATGTTACATTTTCTAATTTTTGTAGGTCTAGTTCGAAATCTTTTTCTCATTGAAAAAATGTTTCGATAGTGTTGAAGTTAAATTATTATTTATTAGTATCTTACAATAATTTCTTGATGGTTGTATTTACAAAGACATATTATAAATAAGCATTTAAGAGCTGTGAGCTGTTAGAGTCGTATAATACACGACTCTAAAAAATCGAAAATCGTCAAAAATTCGTGTAGAGTAAATACAGTACCGATCTGATTTATAAGGCTGCGTAAACACAAGAGTCTTATCATTAACTGAAATAAAAAACTAAATACGTCAGGTAATGACATTGAGATAATTTCAGTTTTCGGTACATCTGTACTGAATACAAAATGTAATATTAACACCGAAATGTGGAAGGAAATATTACAAGTATAAAGAACTTCTTATGACTACTTTAGATTTTTGTTGAGAACTTCTGCTGCAGAGATACTGTGAAACGAATCACCCACCAGCACATGAGGCCATTGCGAAATTGATGTTCAGAATAGTTGTTGTCTCTGAGCTAGCAATGCCAAGTCGGGCGAGCTTATCTCTGCAAAGCAGACCAAACTGCTGCAGGATTGGTAATGTCGACAGCTGGAATAAAAAATAACAGTTATTATTTAAAACTTACATATCTATGTATTTTACAGAGATTCGATGTCCAGTGATTTACTACGCCGACTTAGGCCCTATTTTTTATCTAAAATACTACATAAAAAAATTAATATATTTTCAATATAATTAATTAACTGTCAATAGCAATTAATACTTACGTTAGAAATACCGGCAGCAAATATAATTATCCAACCCCATCCTCCATCTGGAGGGATAAATTCTCCATCCTTCTTCAGTTTTGATTTAATTCCTTTCATCTTCATCATATTCTGTAATTAATAAAAACGAAAGGATTTTGCCCACGTTTATAAGAACACAGTTCTAGTACGACTCGATGTATGAATGAGACTGATAAATTTCACGGAAGACCTAATATACTATTTACTGTAGATGATACTCGATTACGACATATTTTACAATTCTTGCAGTGATATACTGCTGAAAGCTATAGATTTTAATGAAGTAATTTTCCGTCTTATTTTGTAATTATCGTGGAATCGTAAGAAATTAATGAATTTAAGATGCTCCTGTCTTTGTATACATATATAGTACATTTAATACGTATTTTAATAAATTACAATATTAATACGTGAAGCAAGAACTTTGTATCACTTGTTATGAAAATTACGCAGAGATCAAAACATAATCGCTATAGTATTTTTGATAACCACGCGAACGAAGTCGCGGACATATATATAGTATATATAGTTTGTATAGAGAAGTGCAGAATTTTAATATATTTAAAAATTATGCATAAATAATACATTAAATAAATAAAACTTTAGATATACACATTACCATGTATTTGACACATACACACATAGATGTTTAATAATGAAACCTTGATAATGTTTAAACTTGTAATTTAAATTAATTATGGTCGAATTTCACTAATACATTATTTCTCACATTATATATTTTTAAAAGTTTATTGCCATATTTATTTTATATATAGTCAGTTCTGTCTATGGCATTACCATCACCAAGAGACGATTTAACAACATGATTTTTTAATCTATGAACCACTTTGGTTAATGGATAGATGTGATGAGTCTTCCGAATGGGGTGAATATGTGACATTATTCAACGTACTTCATCATTACATAGTACAAAACAAAGTCGCTGTCGCTGTCTGTCCCTAAGTAGATATGCTTAAATCTTTAAAAACGCAACGGATTTTGAAGCGGTTTTTTTAATACATAGAGTGATTCTAGAGGAAGGTTTATGTATATAATACATGTACACCTAGTCTTTACATTAGTACAGAAAAATATTATTATAATTTCGAAATGGTTGTTATGTTGATATGAAACAAAGTTGCCAGTTATAATAATAAACTCATTTGTAAACATATTGACTAGTCTGAGAAAGACTGGATTATTATTAATGCGGTAAAGTAGTCCCATTACGAACAATTTACCCTAACAATCTTCAAGCCGTTTCTCCTGGAAGCCATTGTATAATCATAAGTACTGTTAGTGCAGGTGCACCAATTTATATTAATCCCTTAAAAATATGACGTAACTGTTTCCAGGTTTGAAGTATACAGATCGAAAACATGTTCCGAAGGGGGAAGAGGATTGTTAGTAATGTGGATTAATAACTATCGATTGTATTGCTAGCGATGTTTTATGTCAGGTTGACACTCACGTGGTTTCCCCTGGAAACCATCGCCATTAATTCATGGTAAATTTACTACGAGCGCTAACTGACCTGACCTCATGCCCATTTTATCGTCTTCCACTGGTGCACAGCCAGCGAATACCGTTATATCCATAAGAAAAATATGCATTTAATATTTGAAATTAGCAAGTGAATGGGGCACATTCACTTTCTAATTTCAAATATTAAATGACAATTGATAAGTATCTTATGAATAGATATATATGTATGTAGTTACATACTAACTTCAATGATTAATCAAATCAAAGGTATACGATAAATATCACTTGCTTTTATTTATAGGTTTTCTATATTGTTATTGGTGGAAGCAAATAATAATTACTCAAAAGTTGTATAGTTATTCCATTAGTTTAAAAACGAAATTTTATAAATAGATTTAATATCGTGTCCTGTACCTACCTAGTTAATAAAACACAAACAAAATATTTTTCATATTTATTTTATAAATCATAACACAAAGAGGTCTGTAAACTATTAAAGTTTAAAATTTTAGTGCTAAAATGCGTATTTCTTAAAATTAAAATCAACACAATAAACATTTAACACTACGGTAACCAAATCTGATAAGAACTTTTGTAACTTTTTCATATTAAAAATAAATAATAATATATAGATAACTAGAGAACTAGACTAGAGAGAAACTTCACCTAACTGTATGACACAGAATGTCAATATTCCACAGATTCCTTCGAGTTTCTTTGATTTAGTAGCAGGGTTGCCAAATCTAAAAATGTTGAATATTCATAATCACATCAAAATAAGCGTTATATCTACCAGAGAATGTATGTATATTGGTTTACATGTTGGTCGTGCAATCAAGAAGTGTATTTAATTAAGGTACTCATTTTTATTACATACACAAATAATGATTTAGAGATTACAAGATAGGTCTTTGAAAGTTTTCCATTTTATAAAATATCTTAAGGTTTCTATCAATTATTAAGTAGTAATCACTTTTGTATATTTTAATATTTATACCAGGCAGGTCAAGTGGTATGAATAACATATTTACCCCTATCTGTATACACAATCAAGTAAAAATATCTGTATTTGTATCATCACTCTTGTACTCTTGAGTAGTATATTCTTTGCTCTTGTAATTTAAACGTAGAAACCTCCCAATATAGAATCTGTTACAAAACACAGATTCTAGATTTTTGTATTGAAGGATAAATTAATGATTAATGAAAAAAGTTGTGACAACATTAAGCTCATTCTTAATTTTGAAATTTTTACTCCTACTATCAGTAGGTTTTTTATCGAAATCGTTTCTTCAGGGTTCACAATGCGGGCATGGTAGATAGGTAGCTCTGCTATAACTAACATCTAAATACAATACCTGCTATAATATACAATTCTACTAGGAATACTAATATTGTTAGGTTTTGCATTATAATAAAATGGGAAATTAATAAAATTCCATGGGAACGCAAATTATTTGTGCCATGTTGTATTCTGAAGTATGGTTTTGGTGTTTTTTCTTAGAGATTTATTGACTTAATAATTTTGTATGAGGAATAGGATAATAAGAGCGGAAGAAATAAATGTTATTTGTATTTGTTATGTATGTTTAATTTTATTACATTACAGCATTTAGCATACTAAATTGAAATGCAAAAATGCAGATACTCTTAGATACAATTACACCTTTCACGTAGCGTTACTATTAAATTAGGCTCTTGTTTAAATTAAACGTTTAACTGTGACTACATTTTATTATTGGTACCTACATATTGCGAAGTATCTTTGTCAATTCAGATTTTGTTTGTGAATCTGATTAATTATTGTAGTAAGTATACTGAATAATATAGACTAGATACATATTGTCATGACAGACACCGCCGGTACAATGAGCGAAGCTCATTATAAATGACCATTATGATTACAATACAAATATGTAGTTTAAATTTCTTCTTAAAGTTCTTAATTATATTCATCCTGATTTATTCAGAGTTTTTGCTCATACTTTTTTATTATTATAATGACTATCGACGGCGATTTTTAACTGTCTTTTAAAAGAGCATATCTTCTAATTGTATTTTCTTTATGTATGTAAGTAGGTACCTACACGATTATTTATAGAATATTTTCGTGTTTATTCGTGATTATTCAGTCACCATTAATTTCTACTATTGCTCATGTACGTATAATAATCTTTTTTTATGAATTTGTGGCTGCGTAGGGATTGAAAAACAGACGTGATGACTATCAGTCTATGAACTGCGGTAACTAAAGCTATTCGCTGCCAATTTATTATTGATAATAGAAAACAATTTCTAAACAAGTTCTAGTTAGTGTACACAAGTACCAGTTAGTGTATTTATATTGAATTTATTTAAGCTTTTGTTAATTCTTGTTGATTATCCTTCTTTTTCTGTTTTCTGGTCCTGAAGTATTTTTCTAAACCCCAGGATAAAGCGGTTAACCACGTGAATATATTCAGGCAATGCAGTGTCACAGCTGTGGACGCGTTGTCTTTGATCCAGCCTAAAAATTAATAATAAAAAAATGTAACAATTATTGTTTTAAAATCGTGTCTTTTCTTTTTCAAGTATACAAAATCTAGTCAGACATAATAGTGCAACAAAGTGTGTACGTAACCTAATAATATGCTATATGACATATAAACATTCAGAAACGATAATACGATTAGATGCATTACTGTCTGTAATACATAATTGTATGTCGTATTTGTTATAAAAAAAACAACATTGTACCATTTAAGGGGTCTTCCTATGTGACGGCCTGTTTTTTAGGGATATTTTAGGATTTTTTTTTACGACCAGTAAATATTTAGAGCTTCAAGTTTTTTATCATTTATTAACACATATTTGGACAGTATAAATATAAAATTTCAGCTAAAAATATTCAGTCAAACTAGAGTTACAGCGCTCTGAACACCCCCGCCTCGAAAAAAAGAGCTCCCACTTCCTCCACGATTCCGGCTGATCGCCTTATCTGAAAAAAAAAAAAAAACGGCGTTTTAATTTGTAGGCTTAAAAGCACGGAATGACCTATAATCAAATGAATATAAAAAAAATTGGATTTTTGATAGACATTTGAAATAAAAGTTGCAAATTAGGCGTTTTTTTTTTTGTTTTTTGCTATAAAAAAATCGAAGTTTTGAAAATTTTCGATTGATAATAGTTCATTCCATGCGTTTACATATATTGAGTGTGCCCTGTAAATTTCAAGTAATTCGGTCCAGCCGTTTCTGAGATACAATGGAGGAAAGTTTGAAAATCACAGTTTTGAGAAAAACGCGTTTAAAGTTTCAAGTCCGTTAAAAACTATTAAAATATCAACTTACTCTCAATCGGCGATGCCTGGTCCATAGAGTATTCCTTCCTCTTCCTCGTGAAACTCTTTTAAAGCAGATTGTTCAGCTCTTGAGTCAATCCTGGCTTGTTTAACGACATCACTTACGCGCCGCTCAGAGCGTAAGATTCGCTTTTCATCCCGTTTCTCAACATACGCTTGGGCTTCACGACCAACAGGGCATCCCATAATCGACATAACTTTTAAAATACCTTGAAAACCTTCATTAAAGATAATAACTGCTAAGTAGCTAGCAATTTCAACAACTTTGGGACCAGAATGAAGATGTTTAGGAGCGAAAGTCCAAATCAAAGAATTCAAAGATTCGTTATTGTTTTGTGTCTCTGCTCCTAAACAACGAATTAATAATTCGTCTTTCGATAAATCTTCGAAAACCGGTTTGATAGCTTCTTGGACTTGCGGAATTAGAGGTGGTTTATCGTGATGAAATTGGTCCAGTTCATTATTAGCTTCAGCCTTACGCCATTTACACCAACTGTCTTCGCCTTCTGGACAAAATTGATGCTGAGGGTTTCCACTAAACTTTCTTTTTTTACTACGACCAGGATGAACATTTCCACTCGTACTTCCTTTCCGTCCACTCATTATGAAAAAAAAATAATTTGTAGCTGTTGCTCTCTTCGAAGTTCAACCAAGACTAAAATAACTTCGGTAAAATATTATAACAATAGAAATTTCTGTTTAAGTCTGTAGAAACGTGTCTAAACTTGTATAAACAAATATATTAATAAAAGGGAGGCCAGGTATAAAGCCGACGGTACACAATAGGCCCGGTCTCTAACTGCCAACTCACCGCTCCGAACCGCTCTTTCTTTTACCTGCTGTATCTTTAAAACGACTTCGAATTTTCTAAAATCGCTTTACTACCGTATTCTAGACATGTTAAGGGAGCAATTTATGAAAAAAAAAAAAATCGATTTTTTCAACCCATCACATAGGAAGACCCCCTTAATACAGATACCTCAGAAAAAAATAAACTCAAACATATTTCACAATACTTACCTACAACTGGCCCCAACGAAAGATATACGACTCCAGCAGTCAATAGCTGGATGCCAGTCGCTCCTGGTAGCTTATGAAGAGGCACATGAGTTGGTATAACTAGAGCCATGAACACTGTTCTCAATCCTTTACCAAATCCAATCATAACTGCAACGAGCAGTACGATACTGTAGGTCTGAGAGTAGGCTAAAACTAATAAAATAAGAGATAAAGGTATTTAATAATATTGTCTAGATAGACAAATTATTAAGTATATTACCTTAATACATTTCCTATAACTCTACAGCTGTAGAGTTGTATGAAATGTATTAAAGCCAAGCATGTCATGCTATTAGTAAAATAATATTAATCTGTAACGTTTAATATACGAGAATTAAAATATCACTTTACTATACACTATTTTTTCACAATATTTCATTATTATCTATTACAAGCTACCCACCCCGGCTTCGCACCGGTGTACTTGTATTATACATATAAACCAACCACTTGAATCACTCTGTTTATTAAAAATCCGTTGCGTAGTTTTAAAGATTTAAACATACATAGGGACAGACAGCGACAGCGACTTTGTTTTATACCATGTAATAATGATATTACCGTCGTATTAACTGTAACATTTGATTCATCAGTGGTGGTGATAGCCGATGGCATGATTTAAATAAATAAAAAAAAAAATGTGATGTACAAAATATTTACCTACTCTTCCCATGGCCATAGACATAACTCCAAAAAGAAAAAAGAAGTTGTTATCCCATCCTATTTTACCAGCAACAAATGGTATACAAAATCTAACACAAAGATCGACTCCAGCAAGCAGTGACATAAAGAAAGCTACTTCAGATTTTGAGAGCCCATAGTCACCAAGAATAAATGGTGTCAATATGGAAAAATTCAATTCGTTAAAATTAGCTAATGTTATTCCCAACATTAGATTAATAAATGTAAAATCTTTTAGTAGATCCAAGTCGAAAAATACATATATTTTCTCACATAATGTCATTTCCCGTTCATCAGTAGCCTCATCTTTTTCTTCAAAGACATCATTGTCTACGTCATCGCAGTGATTATTTAAAAGCAAATTCATTTCATCCACATTATTTTTATGTTCATTATCTTTTAAATATTGCTCTAATTTCATCGATGCCTGTTTCAAAACCTCACTTTCATAATTAAAATTGTTTGATTTCTTTCTGTGTCTGGTTCGATATGACTGATTGCTATGGTTATCTTTTAAATACTTTTTCTCATCATTTTCATCTTGATTTCTAAATGATATGTTACTATGATTGTCTCTCGAATACTTTTCTTCATACTGCATATCTACTTTAAAAGATTTAATACTTTTATTTCTCACTAAATGCTTTTCTGCTCTATCTGCTATATCTTTTGCTTGACCTGGATCGATTTTCTCAACAGCGGCCTTTTCATCTGCTTTTAAATCTTGGGGCGCTTTTAATGTTGGGCAATCTTCTATTTCTGATTCTGGAATCTGTGTATCTAACGTTATAGAGGTCTTGCGTTTCACTTTATTTGGCTGCTTATCGCGTTCATATGCAAGAGCTCCGAGATTTGCTGATGAATTTTTTTTTGATTCATTTAAGTATAATGTTGACGATTTACGAGATCGATTTTCGGCTAGATTTGTCATGGAAGGTTTTTTTGAATTCATACGAGAATTCTTTGTGGAACCATCTCTAGAGGCAAGTCTGCTTCTAGATTGTCTTTGACTATAATACCCGTCATTTGCACGTACCATCATTGGTATTCCAGGGTCTATTATTTCATAACCAGGAGTAACTGGATCGTCCTCATTGTAAAGATATTGACTTGAAAATGCACTTAAATTTTTTATCTTAGAACTAAAATAACCACTTTCTTGTATTTTTTTACCATCTAAATCTGTTTTATCATTTTTCTGTACTTTTTCTTCGCCTAAGTTAGACAGAAACTGCGTTTCTTCTTCCTTAGGTTTTGCAGAATGCCATTCGACTGGCTGCAACAATAGTGCACATGCTACGGCATGCAATGATATACCACCTAAAATAAGAATTGTGCCTGTTTCTCCAAACAAAGCAAATAAAGCTGTTATTATATGTGGCCATAACATAGGGCCAAGGCCAGTTGTAGTCCATGATAAACTAGTTGCCAATCTTCTTCTATTTTTCCAATAGGTATTTAATGCAAGTGCATTAGCTGAACTACTGATTCCATATCCAGCACCTGAAATTGTATATAAATATATATATTTTACTATATGTTAACATCATCATCGTAACGTTAAGGTACAAGTAATCATAGGATTTGTTTAGCTTACCGTATAATATCGAGAAAGATATGAGATACGTAATAAAATTATAGGAAAATGTTGTTAACATGAGTGATATGAACACAATTATTGCTCCCGCTACAGAAACCTTTCTATAGGTGAATGTTTTGAACATTGGACCATTTGCGAGACCTGTAAAATAAAACAATCAAGATTCTGGCAATGTTGATAACAAATATCATTTCATTAGAATATGTAAAATGATTTTTTTATTTAAAACCTTCCACATAAAGTATTATGCGTTATATCAGTGTGTTTTACAAAAATGTAACCGATTTTCAGTAAAGAATATTAAATTAAAGATTTCGTTCATATTGTTTCTGAATGAAAGTGAAATACCTACTGCTCAATAGTTGTAATCTCTTAATAAGCGTGAAATTAACATTAAACATTAGTAACTCATTTAATGAAGTGATTGCAGAAGATAGCATATATATCTTATATTTTTTATCTGTCCTATTAATTAAGTTTTTCTTTCATAATGTTGTGCTGCCTTATTCATTGAATGGGCCAGTATGGTATTAGAGAGTTACCATGCGAGGCGCGTCACGCACCGACGCAAGAGGTCAGCGCGGAGTTCATGTTGATAATTGTTGTGGTCTCTGAACTGGTGATGCCTAGTCGCGTAAACTTATCCCTGAAGAGTAGGCCAAACTGCTGGAGGATGGGCAGTGCTGACAGCTGAAAACCAACATATAACAACAAACTAAACATTTCCTTTACCTCAAGTTCTCAGAAATATATATTTAGTTTTTTTTTGGCAAAATGTTATTATCTACCTAACAAATAATATGTATTAAGTAGGTATTACGTAGACTTTGTTTTTAAACAAATTCATGACATACATATTACACAGCATGATGTGGTTACAAATGAAGCCTAGTTTAACACGTAAGTTTATGCTGTATCCTATTATCTAGCATTGAAAGTATTCTCCTAATTGGTATAAAATCGGTGTTTTCGCTCCAACTCTCCATTTTGATATTATACAAAAACCACCTATATAAATGACTGTTTGCTAATAAATCATAGAATAAACAACCACGATTGATCAAATAGATTACACTAAACGTGATTTCATTCGTCAATTAATACATCATACTAAAAATACTTTGGGTAGGTAAATATTAAATTATTTAAGGTATTATATTATTAACTTTTTGTCTTTTTTTTTTAATTCCTATTGAAACTAAAGCTTATAATATGATATCAGTACTGAATAATACTGACTTAATGAGTATCATACCAAACTTGTCGCACCCAAGGTCATTCAGTAATCTATTAACGCAGTTGACTGTAATTATATCTGGACACATGTCATAATGTTAACATGGGAATACATAATTATGTTGTCAAAAATACCCAGAGTCATTTTAGAGTTCCGTAAAATATAACTCATGTCAAAATTTCAGGACCTAGATAGGTTTGGTAATATTGTTCAGCTATTGCAATTATTATTATAATAAAATATCAGTTTAATGTTGTGCACCAGAATAAAAAATAGTGACTTGTCAATATCATAACGAATCTATGTTCGTTATAATATTTCAGACAAGTGCCTACTTCTCTAACTGAATTTTATTTCTAAACTCAAACTTTCAAATCAATAAAAATAGTTAATTTTGGAAATTACCTGGTGACTATCCAAAAAAAGAATCGAAAATATATAATATATTATGGTTTTTTAAGGATTGCCAAAGCGTACGTGACCCCTTTGGTATTTCAGGCGTCTTAGGTTTCGGTAACCGTTTACCATCAGATGGGAAGCTGGATTGGTTTTTTAATAACACTACGACCTTAAAATAACCCGCAACCAGTCTGTTTTGGGCTCACATCAGTATTTACGATAATACAGCTAAGTAGTGTACATAGTTACGGTAGAAAATGATATAAATCTTATCGGAATAAGCAGGTATATTATCAATAAGTGCAATTGACCTCATTGTCCATTACAAATTTCTATAGATAAATTAAATACCTACCTATAATTTATCTACTAATCAAGTTTCATTAGCATTTATCGAAAGGCAACTAAAGTGATATCGGGAGAAAAGGGATTCTTGGTAATGTTTACCTATTACCACAGATAATATAATATTACATACTATTACTAACAATCTATTCTCCATGCGGTCTCTACCTTAGGGTTAATTTACGGTGAATATATTACAATGGACTAACTGATCTGTCTTCATCCTCATTTATCCGCACTCGTGCTCTGTATCATATTATTCCGTATCAGCGTATTCCGTTACCGCAAGCGAGTATTTGATTATTATCAATTAAAATAAGAAACGAGATATTTGTAGCAATAAAACATTTAGTCTATTTATTCATTGTATATTTTTTAAGGAGCTATTAACTCGGCTTCACACATGTGTACAGTAGACTTACATGTGACAGAGATTGTATAACTATTTGCATGTATTATATAATACATATAGGTTTTAACCATTCCGAAGAAATTTTACACAGGAAATCAGAGAAAAACATTTAAAAATCAATTGCGTGGTTAAAAAGTATTGTCGAAGCGAAGTAATAGACAGATGCAAACAGCGGCTTTCTTTAAACATTTACAACTAACTGTAGGTATAGGAAAGAGCTATATATTTTCAGACATGTCTACCTTTATTTGTAAATACAATATTGTTCAGGGTCATCTCTAACTCGGTATACAAACATTAATATCATAAAATAAACAGGAAAGGTACAATATCTTTTGTTTATTATCGTAATAATCTATTTCCGTGGAATAATGTGCAATCAAACTCTACAGACTTAGTCGTAAGTGTGCTAGCAGATTGTATTATACAGATATATCATATCTAAACATGTTACATAGATTGCTTGTAATTACTCCAGAATGATAAAACAGGTTTTGTGGCCACAATATTAAAATTAACTAAGTATATAAGAATGACACGTTCTAAAGTGAAAAAAAAATATTCACTTAAAATGTTTCAAATAATTGGCCCATTTTTTTTCATTAATATTTTTAGATCACAAGTAACAATTATTAAATGAAGTTATTAGTTGTATTTATATAACTAAGAATTGGATTTAATAATAATCTCGTAAAAATTTATCAAATTGAATTGGAAATATTCTACTTCTAAAAATAGTTAAACATAAATTTCATTAGTAGGTAGCAGATAATTAATATTCAACTTACGTTAGAAATTCCAGCAGCGACAACAATCATCCAACCCCATCCTCCGTCAGGGGGCACAAACTCTCCATCCATTTTCACCTTCGATTTAATCTTTTTAGTTTTCGCCATGTTCTGGAAATTATTGTTTATGTTAATCACTAGAATTCGGCAATACGAATTAGCCCACTACAATCTCTAACAACGATGCCAATGGCACTGATAAAATTATGGAACAACATACTTATAAGTACTACTGACTAGACAATTTTGTGACACGCTACGGGCTCAGTTTAATTATATGTACAAACATTACAATGATGATAAAAAAATGTTTGTATTTGTCTTAGTATATCTAATACTAAAACAACAGTATAATAACTCACATAACTAAACATATTACAGAAATGGATCACGCACCATTTACAGGTGCGCAGCCAATTTATTTCTACAAAGTACTAATATTATACACATATGATTCAGTTTGTTTGTTACCTATTGCCTATTCATCGTTGAATCTTCATCTCTAATTATGACTATTAAAAAAATACACATAAGAAAAATAAAACAAACGAATGGGTTCAAGGTATCGTACTTGCCTCGGGATAGGTTATCGTATCGTATTCTCATGATAACCTAGGAATCAAATATTTTATCGGTCACAGGGTGACACCCTGTACCCTCAAGTAATTTAGTAAATCATTTTTTATTATTATAATACACATGTCCTGTGTGACAATTAATTCATATTGATATATGATTAAAATGTCATACGATTAAGTATCAAAATTTGCATCAGGTAAAGTTGACCACTACTTGGTTCCGCTTTGAAACTACTGATGTATATTCCGGGTGAATTTAATACGATGGGTTAACTTCACTTCTACTTAGACTTCATGAACATCCTATTCCTATCACTATATCCTGCAATGGTGCCTCATTATCTTTACCTAATGATCTCAATAACCATTGGACGTATTTTCATGAGGTTCTAAGGATTTCTTTGGCGTATCATTTAAAAAAAATCATTTGTATAATATTACATTATTGTAGAAAAAGACGTTATAGTAATGCTATCTTTTAAGGTAATCGAATATAATCTATAATCATTTACACCATTAAGAACGAGTATCTATATATGAATTATTTACATAGTGGTGATTAAGTACATTTGTAATGTAACTATTTAGATAAATACTTAGATGAAGGTTACATGTAAATATTCTATGCATATAGGTACCACCGTAGGTATAGCAATTACACTAATAAATACCATAATAATTTACATGTACACATATTTATATCTTATCCTCTTTTGTAAATACTAAAAACTCATAAAAATATTTTTAGGCATTTGAATCTATTGTCAATTTGAGAATATAGCTTGAAACAAAAAGCCATATGAGTTCAATAGTAAAAAAAGGTTTATTAAACGTTAGATGTCGTTATGAATAAGTTAGATTGATTCCTAATGTCTCTTTCAATAAATAAATTTTATTTTAATTTACATAAAAACATTCAAATACAAATGAATAAAATAAAGGCAAAGTTATTATAATTAAAAAATACGACACTCATTTTATTTTTATAACCTAGGTATATACAATTTTAACGTTGTAGTTTTTATATTTAAATACCTATTTCTAACAGTTGGTACTTATAATCATGGGCAATATTAGAACAGTTATGGGTAAAAAGATATCGTATCTTTAATGTAGAAGAGATTGAAAAAATAAAATTCTTTATTCGACGGTAGTAACGCCATATTCAATATTATTGCCCAAATAAACATTTATATGTGAGAACTATATAATCTACAATTGGCTTACCAATAAAGTCATAATTGTTTTGTTTTATCATAAATTACTATATCGATCATATATTTTATAAGCAAGATTTATTTTTTCAGATATGACGTCATGAATTCTTTAGCATCGTTTAATCTAAATTAATTAAACTTAATAATAATCACAAATTCAATGCATGTAAATCTATTAATACCTATATGGGGTGCTTTTAAAGGGCATAGGTACAAACAAACCAGTGACAGTATTTTTGAAACTTAATATTTTTTAAGATATATAAATTGATACTCACATGACTTTTTTGACGAATCTTTGACGATTTTTGTATGAATAGTTAAAATTTTATATTCCATATTTCACTTGCTTAGGTGAAAGCAGTCAATTTTCATGATTACTTTGCACAAATTTCGCTTTTATAAACCTTGTGTAAGTAATAGTATAATATATGTATAAAGTATTAAAATAAAATCAACAACCGTTAATGGAACCTTAATATATTTTTAAGTATTATATTTGTTATGTTATTCAATGCATTATGTAGAGTTTATTAAGGGCATTCCCTACAAAAGTTTGTTGACGTCTGTATTATATGTATGTCGATATTCAAATAAATGGAACAATTTTCAACTAACTATTTATCGGTTACTACAATTTGAGGAGTGATCCAGTACAAGATGCTCTTATCTTACTAAGTAGAACATGTTGCAAGTAAATCTAATTACAATATATGAAACTTTCAAGCTTTTGGGACAGGTTTAATGAGAAACATACTTTTTTATGTAATTAGAATTGCAAACGAGATGATAGCAAGTGGACATGACGTTATCATAACGTTGGTATCATTGCCATTGCACAGTAGGTACTCTAATATTATGTTTCTAATTCTTATTTCCTCTAAATCTGCTTGGAGGCTAAAATACTGTGACACCTTGTGACATACCCACGCACACGACTTTTTACTCCATAACTTTGTTGAAATATATCGTATTGTATCATAATTATTTCAATTTTCTTTTGCATATTTTTAAGTATTCTATATCTATAAAATAGTTTGTCCGGACTGATAATCATCAACTTACAGCCAAAACTACTAATTTAAAAATCTAATATTTGCCACATAATACTATTTTATAAGGTAAGCGTCTGCTACGAAATAATATTTATATTTTTTGTACTACGCATGTAAAGCCGCGCGCAATAGTTAAGTTCTTTATAAATATTATTTATTGTAGTGTAATTGTTTACTAAAATTGACGGTAGTACTTCCAACATAAAAAACCTGAAGTTATTAATTGTAGATACATATGTACGGTGGATTATGTAGGTGTAATAAAATGTAATAAAGTAAATATTTGTAAATTATCTTTACTATGCACGTCTGTAAATATGGCACATCACTTCTACCTGACATGACAAAAGATTGATAAGGAAAAAAATTACTAACGGTGAGTCCCGCATGAATAAGGTTCTGTACAAAATATGGACTAATTTTAAATTAAGGAGAAGGTGATTGAGTCTCTACAACTCTACTTTATATATGCAAATTAAGTCTCGAATAATCTTATTTCGTTTTTTTTTGTACCTAAATCAAAATAAGTTAAATTGACCTGTTCGTTTTCTGTAGTAAGTATTGGTTTCGTAAGTAATAATCCATTTTAATCTTTCTAATACATTAAGCAAAAAATAAACTGTTTTGGAATTTTGCTCTAACTCAAACTAATTCGAAAGAGTTAAAGCAACGTTTCTTATCAGTTCTTGTCTACTTAAATTAAGTATATAAGTATCACAATAACGTAAATCACATATCTATGAGTAAAGTTATTTTGAATATTTAATAATTCCATACTGCTGCAAATTTTCAGGAAAACGAAAAAGCAATTATAATGCTGTGATATACGAATAAGCGATCAATTAATCGGGCAGTCATAAACTTATATTATACTTATATACCGACCCTTAAATACCAAAAACCCTTATGTTTTTGGTATTTAAAACCCTTATGTTTTTGGTATTTAAGGGTCGGTAGAGCACACGTAGCACTCGTGGTGTTTCAGCCATTATTAGGTTAAAATAACCGTTGGGAAGTATATCTTAATGTCAACAATGTGCTAAAAAAATTGTTAAAGAAACCCTAACAACCATAAAATTTGATAATAACGGCGATGCGATTTCTTAGTAGGTACCTATCTGAACTCATTCCTCACAGAAGCTTATAAAGTTTTGTTTGCCTTCCATAATGTACATTTTTTTTTCCTAGAATAATTAAATTTGCAATAACTACAATGACTACTTTAAGTACCGTTTCCATGTACACACAGTCTGCTACTCATTAAGTAAAATAAGAGCTAACAATACTTAATTGATTTAATTTCACAGATTAAAATGGATGATACAATAAAAAATAGTGCTAACTTCTAGCCGTTGTTAAAATAGTCTACATATTCACTTGTAGCTTTTTACCCTTTAATCCAATGGCTTTACATAATTATTCTATTTTCCATTTCCACGTCGACATATTATTAATCTCTATTGAGATTTTAATAATTTGTAACTACTTCATTAGGTACTTATTTTATCAATGCAATACCCAGCGATAACTTCTTGACATACCGATTAAATCTTAAAAAAAAATGAGTTTACTGTGTAGGTATTATTCTCAATCATTATATATACTAATGCAAAACCAGCATAAATATATGTAAGTATACATATTTTTATATTATAACAAATCGACTAAAACGTAATGGATAAAAGATACGCAGGTATAACATAGATATATAGAACAGGAAGGTAATAAAATGTAAACTACTCACCTTAGATGAAAACCGATGTTGTGACAATTAGCAGAACCGGAGTAGGTATATTATAACAAAATAAATACTCTTATCTCCTTTTTGATTGATGTACAAAACAAATATTGTTACTACGAAGGTCGTAGGACACGGCCGCCGAGCGTGATTCCGCAGACACGTCGCATATACACGCTGTCTGTTTGCCTAATGAGCTTCCAATGCGAAATTATTTTATCACACTTTATTGTTCAACATTGTACAATATATACGACCTATAATGAGATTTAGTTGCCAATCGTCGGGCTAGCAGTTTTTAGATAACATTTTACCGAATTTTTGTTTGTATAAAATCATCTGCGTGGTGACGAATGTCTCATCTGTTTCAGCCGTTAAGCGGCTTGCTTTATAAGTTGTGTTCTGACTTTTGAAGGGTAAGATAAGGCTATGATATAAACAGGGCATTTATTTTTATTTCTTCGTTTACCTTTTTTATATAAAAGATAATCACAGCCTTGTTGGTTTAGTGATAGCATTCCGCTTTACTTTCGATGGTTTTGTGTTCGATTCTTCGCATGGCACAAACTTTTGTATTAGTAAGACTGTTTGTATCTCTCTGATCGTTTTATGTATATTATGTATGTATTTACAAAAAAAATGTATCTAAGTATTCCATCAGTTGTATAGTACCCATAACAAAAGCATTGCTTAACTTGGGATTAGATGGCGTTTTATGTATTGTCCAGGAATATTGTAATTATTAATCTATATTGGTCCTAATAATACAATCTGTATTCATATTAAATTTTTTTTAAGATCAATCTAAACAGCTGACGTTTAGATGCGAAAAAGTAAGAAACAAACAGATAGGCAGACAGGCAGATGGCAACTCCTGAGAGGTATCACGCAATGTTGTGCCGGTCTTTCCATCAGGTGGCCAAACAGCTTATTTGTCATTACAGATACATAAAAGGGCACGGCTGATGGATTAGTCTTTGTATTCGGGTGAATTATAAAACCAACATACACATATGACATGATTTTATTGCTCTGTCATAGGAGTTATTATTTATAGGAGATTTACAAAACTCAGTATGACTATTTCAACTCAATAGAACAATACTAACTATAAGGGAAAGTATTGGGTCTGCTATTTTATATAAGCCGCTAAGCAGCTTGCTGCTTAAGCTGTGTTTCTGTTGAAATGACAGGATACGAGGCATAATATCTTGGTACTCTGTCTCTTGGCACACTTGGCGTCTCCCTAGCACAGATGTTAAGACCTATAAATGATTGTAAAAAAGTTAATAAATATTGCTATAGTATATTATATTATTATACATGTTTTACCTTGAGATGGTAACCCGTGAATGGCATCACAGCTGTCACATGATAACGTGATTTCCATACGTCCTAAGCCTTTTTAGTAGGAGGTCTGCATGCATATTAATATAATTGGCCCTAAAGACCCCTTTGCTAAAAAATTATCCTATATTGATAGCCAGTGAGCCAATAGTCTGCAATAGCATAAGAGATCGTACCATTATCTACTAAAAATTGTCTTCTACCGAGGCCATTATAGTAGGTATTGGTTATAAGTCCCATCAGTAGCTGTATAATTATAAAATTATATTCTATTCTGTTCTAAAAATTGAAGGCGGTGCAAATATAATGAATAAGAAAAATAAAAAATCATAAAATGTATTTTCATTCACTTTCAAACTAATGGGTTATTTATAAATTTATGTATATTACTTATTATTCTATATATTATTATATTTATAGTCATTGTGAAAAATCGCTCGATATGAAATAAAACGAGGTAATAGATTTTTAAATAATGTAATATTTAATTATAAGAAGTACCTATATTTCTTATTACAAGTACTCTATACTAATAACGGGCACTGAAAAATAACCTTACCCTTATTCGAAGTATAGGTACATGTGCAAATGATCGTGGTGTGTGATTTTTCTATTATTGCACTTTACACATATAAATATGAAATAAAATTATTAATAATATCTCCTGTATACCTATATCTTAATCCTAATATCTTACTAATATTATAAACGAGAAAGTTTGTGAGTATGGATGGATGTTTGATTTTTTTTTATATTAATAATGGGTTTGCGCTTGGTCTTACCTCATCTGATGGTTTCTCTTTTACGCAAAAACTACTAAACCGATTTTGATATAACTTTACAGAATAACACTTTCTGATGAATAATCTATATTACTGTAAAGTTTCATCATATATAGGCTATAATTTGAAACGATATTATTTAAATTAGGCATATAATGAGAAATGTTAAGTAAGTGTAATGCAGACGAAGTCGCGCGGGTCAGCTAGTATGAAATAACATTGTATACAAGTCGTTCGGATAATTTAAAACTTATTAAAAAAAATACATTAGTTGTACGATATCAACATCGCAGACAAAATCAATGAGAGTCATAAATCAGCAACTCTTTGCAGTTATAACAAAAACAGGTGACCAATGCGTCTTCGTAGTAGGAAGATGCACGATTGATGGATTGGTTGATTGGATGGATAGATTGATAAGTATATGTGGAAAGACGTCCATTTCATTTATTGACGGCTGGCTGCTAATCTGGCAGTTGCCTGCGTCGCCGATACAATATACAACAACGTCAACACCAATGTAATAGTTTTCAATGATGTATTGTTACAACATAAAAAAGATTAAATTCAATTACACATAAACAAAAAAGTTAATCTTATTGAAAAAAATAAATCGGACTATTCTAGGATCAACAATTAAGAAGTCACTAGTTACATTTGAATATTCCCGGGTTACTAGATTACGTTTTACACCATAGACTCTCTCTACCCTGTGTTATCTCCATCAGGTTGTCTTAAAGCCAAAAAGTAAAGTTACTTAAAGTAAAAAGTTTCACTGTAACCTAATATTATATTTTAATTTCAATTTACGAAATATAAAAGTCACATTAAAGAAAAGTTTCACATCATCAAAAAACAAAGAAAAATCTATGTAGCTGTATATTTAAAGGAATTTAATTTAATTTGTTAGAAACACTATAATGTACTGGCAACACTGTGCTGTTTTTAATCTGTGTTTTATAAAAGTTAGAAAAAAATTAGTTTAGTTCTCGTGGTGGTCACATCGCTACCTTTTGTTTTGGTAATTTAAAAAATAGAAGTTATTGATAAGGTTATTTTAACTACTTGTTATTTAATTCTTTTACAATCTGTAACTGAAATTAGTAATTATATTCTCCCAAATAATATCCAAGCGTAATCTTAAACAATATTATACACTCTGTTGTGTCTATTCAGCAAGTGAAACTGTTTTCTTTCTTTGTTTTATTTGACAACTTACAGTAGAAAGTGTTATGATTTTTCAACTTTTATGATTGTATTTTTACGGGAAATAATATTTGAAAAGGTAAGTCACCGATATTTTCTTACTTGATAATTTCATTGTAGTTAGAAGATTTTATATTTCCGTTTTGTGACCTAGTTAAAATAAATATTATATTAAAAAAATAAGTTTTCACATTGTTTGGTAGGAAAAAATATTAGTGTTTTTTTTTAATTTATTAATAATATAATACTGAATTAATCATACTACTAGAGTATTATTATGCATGTCTCTTTCCCGGAAACATATAAAAGTATTGTATTGCCCTCGATTATTTTTGTAAAGTTTAATTTTTACTAAATTAGGTGAAAGAAACAGTTGCTTAGAATTTTCAGTCTTTATTTATTTTCAAAATATTATTTGAAAACCTCCTGACAAATCCTTGACTGGGTTTAGATTACTTACTTAAATGAAAAATAAGACAGTCTCTAGCTGGAGGGGACTTGATATTTCTTCAGCAGAGAAATTATTTTATCCTTAATAATTCCTTATCTGTATACATAATTTTGTTTTTAAATATCTTACTAATATTATAAAAGCGAAAGAGTATGGATGGGTGTTTGTTACTCTTTCAGGTAAAAATTACTGAACAGATTTTTATGAAACTTTACAATAATATAGCTTATACATCAGAATAACATGTAAGCTATAATTTAAAAAGTTATTATGTCAATTGTGTAAAATAATGCAGACAAACTTGCGTTTGTAAGTTAGTGTAATTATAAGTGTGATAACTTATTTAATTTCAAAATTAACTGTTATAGAGAAATTGGCAAGGCATTGAATAAAATGAGCTCATATTGTGTTTGCTTCAAGAGCCTGATATATCCTAAAAATAACACATTTAAACTAACTAAACTGTCATTAATATCAATTGACAATTGTTGAAGTTTTCATGAAGTATGCACAGTAAGTATAATACAGCTATATAGAGAAATTCTTTGTTCTAAGTTGGTATAGAATTGCCTAGAATTTAGTATTTCTTTTAATTGTAAATAAGATTTTAATAAGGTAAAATAGTAGTAATAGTAGTCACATGTACAATTTCATATTCACTAACAACTACTTAAATAGTTGGCCGTTCTAAATTCAAATATTATGTTCAGAATTCTGAACCATAGAGCTATAATTATAATGTGAATTTATGGCATGATTCTGTCACAGAATTGCATATACAATCTATTACTGATGTATTTGAATAGTCATCATAAATCAAATTGGAATGTCTGTTTGGAATATTGAAATAACCGTTTTTATATATATATAAATGAATATTAATATGTATTAATATATTTAATATTGTATACATAAGTACACCAAAATAACTTTTTTTTACAATTTTTGTCTGTTTGTTCCGGCTACTCTCTGAAATGGCTGGACTGATTTTGATGGGACTTTTACGGGGAGGTAGCTGATGTAATAAGGAGTATCTTAGTGCTACATCTATTTTAGAAAAATAAAGTTAAATTACATGCAGACGAAGTCGCAGGTACAGCTAGTAAATAATAAAATTACAGTTGGACCAATATTATTAAGTCTTGATAGTATATGTAGAGGTTGAAATATACAATGTTCCGAAGTAATCTCAGATGAGTCAAGTACCTAGTAAGGACAGATTTTCCTATAACAACTACTTTTGATAAAATATGTGTTTGTGGAAATTTAATTGTAATATAAATATACTTAATGTTATAATTAGCACAGCAAGTCACAATTATTGGTCTGGTCATTTTTAATTACCTTAATGGGTACATTTTTATGCTTAGCACTTAGCATCTATTAACAAGGAAATGCTCATTGAGCATATTGACGGCAGAATAATTTTATTCTTTTGACTGTAAGTTGTTATTGTTAAAACTTGATAATTCAAACAAAATAATCATCTTATTTTTTTCAATTCATAATAATGATTTTCATTTAATATTATTAAGTTTAATGTGTTTTTAACTCATGATAAATTATATTAATCCTGTCACCATATTGATGATCATCAAACTCCATGGCATGATTAGTAAAATCCATAGCAAACTAGTATTTTTTTTGTTGCCAGAATATGTGTGAGAGTTACAAGTGTTGGTACTAACTTATCATTATTTAAATTGTTTTAAACAGAATCCTATATTTTAATGGATGATAATTTGGCCAGACAAAGTAATGCTGAAATTAATTACATATTTAAACATATGTACCATATTTCACAGAATTGAAGCAATGTGGGAGTAAAGGTAAAGACCTCATCTCTAGGCTGTTTATAATTAGAACTTCTATTATTATTACATGAGAACTGTACATATATACATATGGAGTACTCCCAAATTATTCACAATACATATTAGTGACCTATCAAGTATGTAGAACTCATTGCTACAGTATTGTTACGTCTTTTTTGTAGGGTACCTAACTGCCTAACGGCTTCAACTAGTAAGTTAAAGTAATCCAAAGTAACAATAAGTTACTTTATTACGGACAGTACTAGTTACCTTTCATTTGCAGTAGCTATAATTTACATCTTTAAGGAGTCTGCATGTGTCAAGTAATAATCAAACAGCATTTTATGGTTCAACAACAAAGTATTATAAATTAAGTTGAAAAGCATTTGGCCAGTTTCTCCGAAAATAAATAAAGAGTAATATCAATAGCTCATATAAATATTTTTTGTAAATTATGAACAATAAATTAACGTGAAAAAAATGCCTAACAAAAAACACATCTAATCTAAATTATATTAGATTTGGTTTCATTATGTTTAATTTTATTTAATTTTTGTAATTCTGGATTTTCGTAATGAAGAAATAGAAATCGATTTAATCCGTTATTTTATTATTTTCCAATAGCAATATGTGTTATCTAGTTAAGTACTGCTAAGTACTACTGTAAGGAAAAATTATATATTGAAACACTTATTCTATATCACAGAATACATAGTAATTATACCTTACAGTGAGGAAAACATGCGCAAATATAAAATTACGTAAAGATTTTCGAAAATATCCTCTATGAGAACTTCCTATATTACATGGTCTCGGAACGTAGTGGTATCAGCAATCGAAAAAATAGTTGGATCTAATCGTTTCACAGTTAGTTTAAGTAGTATTTATGAAATAAAAACTTATTTCGTATTTTGTTTTTAAAGTTTTCTTGTAGCCGTTTTTCATATTTTTTTAATTCATTCCAAAATCGGCATCGTATCATCTTTCATATCTTTAGGGTAGAAACCTATCAATTCTATTGTAGCGTTAGCAAGATAGCTAATCTAGACTTTAGCGAAGTGACAAATACATAACTGACCATAGGCATATAACTTGTTTGGAATAAATACTGGTACCTAATTAATTACATGCACAGATAATTAATGATTGTATTGTTTATCAGGAAAATTATTTCATTTGACACTCAACTCTATCACCCTATAGTTTCTAAATGCTTACAGTGGCGTGGGTGGTTTATCGTCTGTGTCGTACGAAGTCCAGTACTCCACTATTTAAGGTGACGTCAACTTGCAACTGTAAGGCATCCGAATCCGACCTCGGCACGCTCTGTTAAGGCATTAACCATTTACAGATACATAATTTACAGTACTTAAGTTAATGAATGCAGCAAGAGAATGCAAGTAATAAAGAACAGTAAAATATTACAATAATTCAAATGAAAGAAAGCGAGCGGTTTATGTGAAATTTAGGCATTTTCTAGGAAGTGAAAACTTGTCAAATACGAAGGACATGACACGATAATAGAACTCGGGAATAATGAAGTGTTTCAGAATATGAGATATATGAGATAGAGAGATTCAGATATTCAGATAGATGAGATCACTGAAATACTAGTATCTATCTATCTAGTAGATGAATGATGGTATTATATTATTAAATCATTTTAAACAGAATTTCTACACAAACATTGACGTATTATTTGAATACCAATGTATCTCATTATAGTAGAAAGTAGGTAATTAGAGCAATGTTATAAAAGTAAAATAATTGAAGACTTGATACTGGGCAATATAATCTTCATTTAGTGTGTTCAAGCAAGAATGGTTTTCTTAATATTTGTATTTCTTGAATATTTATTGGCATGTTTCGAACCTTCATTTTACTAGATAATATTATACGGTAGGTACATAGTGCGCAAGGCAGGTGATTATAAATAAGAAGATTGTTTTTTTAAAGGTTCTTTAAAGGAAATTTGTGTCTTTCAGAACTTGTTAACACTTCTTATTATGTATTTACTTTGTGGAGATTCTTTTATAGAATATCACTTTACTTCAAAACCTATTGTGTACAGTACTGTTAGGTACTTATTTTGTGTCTCTAATCGTAGTTAGTCGGTCAATGGGTGTTTTCTGTTTCATGTTAACTACATCATTTATTAAGTGCAGCCTTATGTGTATGAAGGTCTAGTCAATGCTGTAAATACTACAACTACCTACTTTGTTCACATTGTCACGGATAATTCTTACCACATCGCGGTTTGTATAGTTTTTTATACTAATTTTTATTTAGATTCAGTTCTTGAACGTTGGACTCTTGTTTGTATCAATCTTTTATATCGGGCCCAGTTTAGAACCATTGAGCGACATTAAATAAATTAGTGTGTGCGGTGTGCCTACGTGAGACTAGTAAGGTTCAGTTCATTTGATATAGCTAGCCATTGATAAAAGACGGTAATTTCATTTTTCATAAGTGTTTAGTACTTGAACAAAACTGTTAAGCCAAGATCTTATTGGTCAAGCAGTTTGACTAGATTAGATACTTTATGATCTTCACAAACTTGGGTTCGTTTACAGAGTCGACTCAACAAGTGTTAGATAGATAGATAGATAGAATACACTTTATTTGCAACATACAGTAAAGAAGAAGCACAAACAACATAATAAAGGACACATGTATCGTTACAATAAGGCGGCCTTATTGCTTTAGTGTTAGTGTTAGTGTTCTCTGTGTTGTTTACTACGTGTTTTGCGATCATCATTGGTACTTATTTGTTATATTCGCACTTAACTCTGTTGGGAAATTACTCTTTATTAG